GGGAGCCCAGAACTGCACAAAGCAATATTTTTTACCTTCTTTGAAGCAGCACATTTTGACCAAAAGATCTCCCAAGCTCTTCTGTCAAAAATCCCTGCAAAAYCAACACCAGGACAACACTATCAAATACCTGTCCTGATCAACCTGCTGGAAAATGTGTGCCTTAGGTAGTAACATATGGGAAAATGTGTGGCTATCACAATGCAGTAGCAAGCCTAATGCTGCAAGTACCAGGRAGGAGCTGTGCCTGGATGGGTGTATGAAGAGGTTGAGCAGTASGGGTTGGACTAGGTGATCTCCAGAGGTTCCTYCCAACCTGTGATTCCATGATTCTGTGATTCTGAGTGCCAGATTATGGTCCAGAAAGGCCAGGGATGGTGAARGATGGTTGAACTTCCAACCAGAAATTCTCAGTCTGCCTCATGTCAGCCTCCTGTGATAAGGGGACAAACAGTGGCCACAGGATAAGTATACAGAAGGAAAGAGTTAGTAAGACTCATCATGAGATGCTGAAGGAAAAAATGGATTGAAAAGATGGGCTCAAACTTGAAGCAATTAAGGATATAGCAGCAGTTTTCAAACAGCAGAGTGGAAGATTTTAATTAGCTTCAGTAATTATGGGACTGAGGAGTTCTGGAGCAAACCAGAGGGCTGAAAGGAGRGAGAACTATCTGCCCCACAGAAAGAAAGACCAGGGTCATTGTCTGTGTGGGGTGATTAACTGAATTAACAAAGTACAAGAACATGAGACACATAAATATACTAATTGTCAGGACAGTTTATTTACTTACTACGACTAGTGTGACCTATATGACCCATTCCCGCACTGATCAGTCTGAGAAAAAATGAGAAAAAACAAAGTGAYGTCCATCCTAGTGATTGTGGGAGCTTGCAGGAACACTTCAAAGGTCGGTAAACTCTCGCAGCAAGAAGTTGACTTGTGCAACAAATTTCAGCAAACTTAATGTCTGATTATCCAGGGAAGCCAARGTTTGCAGCTCCAATAGCTACCTCTTGCTTTTCAGACAAACTGACATACTGACATGGCCAAGAGGAAAAAAAAAAATAAACCACACACACATAAAAAAACCCAAAAAACAAAAGTCCACACTTTTAAGGGCCCCACTTCTCCCCACTGGAAGCTAAAGGAGGACTTCTGAGGGGCTTGCAAAGAAAACATCTTTTGCAAACTGAAAGGAGAAGAAAAGGGCATGGCTGAACACAGATGCTATGCTCATAAGAAAGAAAGAATAAATAAATAAAAAAATAAATAAATAGCCCCCTTGTTTAGAATGCAAAAACCTTTGAAACAAACAAAAATTAGCATCTTCCTAATACATCTTTGAAGATCAATGCACAAACAGAAAAAAAAAAAAAAAGAAAAAAAGGAGTTTGTCCAGGCTGAAACAGCCTAGGCACACAGAGCTTTTTACTGCACTGTACAAGACGGCAAATCAATAACAACTAACAGGCCTGGCAATTAAAATGGATAAAATCCAGAGAGAATGCTTCAAATTCCCCCCACAGAGGAATCAACCCAAAACCGTACATAGAAGAAAGAAGGAGAAACATCCTTAACAAAGATGTTAACTGGAATCAGCTGCTGAAGGTTACAACCCCATTGACAGCAGAGAAAATAAACAAGGAGAGCAGACTCCCCAAGCAGACCTAGAGAACAGGGGAGGACAGAGATGCTGCCAACAGCCTTGTTTTTGAGAGAATGCTTTGGAGCAGCCCATATAACAAGTGCTAGGGGTCTGTTCAGCCCAGTCACACACTTTCCTATTTCATTTTGGCATTAGGGGTTGCCAGCCGAGATGCTGAGCTCCTGTTTGACCTGCCTGTCCAACTGCTCACTAGTGAGGATGGCGGCTGCACCCAGCCCTGGCACCCGTGGGCATTGCCAGATAAATTCAGCACCGGGCAGCTGGCACACATATCAGGTTGCGTTTGCACTCCCATCCCTAGGGGTGTTTTACAGCACGTCAAGCACAGGCAGTAAGTGGTTATCATTTATAGCGCTTTATAAAGCACTGTCCCTTGCACATCAGGAAAAAATGCCTTCGTGAAGCATGGTCAGCTGCAGGGATCGTTGCCATAGTCAATGCAGGGCTTTCTGTCCCTGTGTGAGTGCTGCTCGTGGGCAATTCACTACCCACTTAGGGAAAGCAAAGCAAGGGGAAACACGTAGTGCATTCAGTCTGAGGGATATCTAGTGCCTAAACCGTGGAGCTGGGAAACCTGGACTGCATTGCCTGCTTGATGCTATGTATGACATTGTCTCCGTCACTTAATCTTAACTCCCTTTAACTATCATCTGAAATACCAATGGGCAGGGTTATGATGGCCTTACTTGTGCTGGGCAGATGCTTTTGGAACACACAGTTTCAATTAAATCGATGAGAATAGATGGGCTAGGGAGAAAGTGTGTGGAGGGAGCGGGGCCTGTCTTAATATCTGTGGCATGAGTAAATATCTGGAGACATATAAAGCAAATACACGGCAATATACTGTGGAGAAAAAGTAGTGAAAATCACAGTGAGGAAATGCAGTAGATGTGTTCTGAAAGTTATTCTTACAGTCAGCAGCTTATTARCAGGAGGGACATGGAGCTTCTTGAGAGGGTCCAGAGAAGAGCAACTAGGATGATTAAGGGAATGGAGCATCTCTCATATGAGGAGAGGCTGAGTGAGCTGGGCCTGTTTTCTCTGGAGAAGAGAAGGCTSAGAGGGGATCTGATTAATGTGTATAAGTTCAGGAAGGGAGAATGCAGGGARGAAGGGGACAAGCTCTTCTCATTGRGGGTCAGCGACAGGACAAGGGGTAATGGGCATAAACTGAAACACAGGCAGTTTCTCCAGGTGAGGAGGAACTTCTTCACCGTGAGGGTGACGGAGCTCTGGAACAGGCTGCCCAGGGAGGCTGTGGAGTCTCCTTCTCTGGAGATCTTCCAAACCCGCCTGGCTGCCRCCCTGTGCCCCGTGCTCTGGGTGTCCCTGCTGGAGCAGGAAGGTTGGACTAGATGATCTCTAGAGGTCCCTTCCAACCTTGAATATTCTGTGATTCTGTGATTCATGTTAGAGATGGTCAACGCTTGCCTGAATCTTTCCAGCGTGGGCACGGGAAAGCCACAGAGGCCCAGTGGGCGACTGACCTGCTCCYGGTGCTGGCCGTGGGCCCGCGCGAGCTGCAGCCGGTGCTCCTCCTGCAGGCGCTGCACCTCGGCGCCGTGCTGCGCCCGCAGCCGCTGCTCCAGCGCCTGCAGCTGCTCCTGCTGCTGCCGCCGCAGCTTGCGCACCTCCTCCTCGAACCGCCGCTCCAGCTCCTCCTTCTCGCTCTGCAGCTTCTCACACCGCGCCGTGTTGAGGGCTGCGGAGACAAGACCGGGCCGTCACKCTCTGAACTCCTTAGGGGCAAGAGTCCGTGCGGCCAGAGCACACGGATGGGTGAGTTAGGATGGTGGGGCTGCTAAGAGCTGTAGCCATCAGCAGCCTGCTCTTGCTCTCACACATATATACATTCACATTCTTCTAAACAGAGTTGTGGGCCAGGACTCGACCAACCTTGACAACCTGTAAAAACCCATGTAAAACTGGGATCTAATCTAACATAATAAAGAGGACATTCCATAGGTCTGAAGGCTGGCTGGTGTCCTCTCCTCAACAGCAGCCTTGGATTCACAAATCAAGCCTTCAGAGCTTTTGCTTTGCCTTGGGAATTAGAAACAGCCACTTGACACAAAACCTTTCAGCTAGGATACAATTTTTTTTTTTTCCTTATCTCAAGAAAAAGATAAAGTCTTGGCAATGCATCTACTCCCAGTTACATGCCAGGAAAGCAAAAGATATATGGGCTCTTGAGGTGCATCCTGACTCGTGTTGATATGCAAGCGGTGTGATCATCCCGTCAGGTTGGGAAAAGGACAAGCACCTCATGCCTCTCATTTTCCATTTGTTAGAAGCTTCTCACCTCACAGACCAGGCTCTTGCACCAGCTCCATAAAGAAGAATATCTTGAATGCACCAATGCATCCTTGCTTAACATATTTTTACATTCCTACCACCATATTATGTGCTTCAGGGACTCACAGAGCTCAGATGAAAGGCCGATCCTGAGGGCAATTAGAAGCTGTGAATTATCAGCTCTTCTGAATTAACCCAGTAATTATGTCTCCAACTTCACAAGTCTATTTAGAACTTATTTTAGGAGGTAAAAATCCAAACAATTTTACTGCATCAAGGATGCTCAGTCTATCACCCAACTTGGTTCCTACCCTATATCATTCCCTGGGTCTCAGTACAGCAGTGTTACAGACAGCTCCTCAGCCCTCTACTTTGCTGCAGAACTGCTCCAATCAATTCAGACATGGAAGGCTTGATACATGCTGGGAAAAGTCAGCCATATTGCACTTAGGGATTGAATTTACTTGTTTTCAAAGATCTAACAGGTAAGAAATCATTAAAATCGTCATGCAATTATATTCAGAATGACACACTGAAAAGGTGTTTTTTTCATGGCACTGCTTCCCTTCCTTCTGAGTTAGACCTATAGGAGGCTTAGAAAAATCACCAACTTGTGAATTTAGTGTCTATATTGATCACTCATCCTTCCTTTGCCTTTCATATTGTATGTGCCTCTCTGGTACGTAACTCCTGAATGTTTCAAAAACATGTTCATCCTATGACTGCCACATTATGTTTGTTTATTGCACATGGGGAAAAAAAAGTGCTTTTTTGACTCTTTCTGCGTGTCATCAGACTGAGCTCATCTTTTCAAGACAGTATCAACAGGTCACAGGAGTTACCTACCGCTGTGATCTCAGTTCATGTTAGGTGTATCCACACCAGGTAGTCTAGGCACTCAAATTAACCCTCCCTTCCCCCATGTAGCTATTTTCAYTTTGTTTCAAGCCCTGTGTTTCCACATTTATTGGGCAGTAATATCCAGACTTGCTCAATATGTCTAGACAGATATCACTAATACAGACCTGTTCTAAAACGGATGCTTTCTGGAGAACTAAAATGGACTTAGTGCCCCTTTCAAGCTCATGAAAGAGAGAAACAGGCTGGAGAAGGGAGCCTCCAGCAAGAGCACATGGAAAGCTCTCCCACCTGTGTCGTACCTGAATGGGATCATTTGGGATTTATATGGTCCTTAGCAGAAATTCTTGTCTCTTAAATGATTTGGATTCTAGCTCTAAGCTCCCTTTCCTGTTTTTGCTGTTGAGTGACTATAGAGTGCCACGTCCTGTACCAGCTTTCCTTGGTGTGTAAAGCCACCACAGAGCAGGAGGACCAGCTGCAAAACTTGCATCTCCAAGTTTCAGTAGAATTGAAACCCATTCAGGCTTTAAATTGGAGCTGTAATGAAACCTGTCCATCTACAACCTCTCCAGTGAGATTACCCAACATCCAGGACGGGGCAATCAAATAACATGTTCTGACTAAAAGAAAGTCAATCTGAGGCACAACGATCCATAATCTGAAACAAAGAAATATTCAAGTCTTTCAAATCAACCACAGTGCAAGTGCAGAAAGGAACAGAGAGGAAAACTGGGGAAGTGTGTTTCCAATGTACCCAAAATTACTAATGGCGGAGAATAATGAGGCCACTGCTCAGGGCATTTTCCCTGCACTGAATACAAAACCCTTCTAACCAGGAGGAGTGCTCTCCACCACTGTCTTCCAAACCGAAGGAAATGAGGCCAAGGAATGAGGTGGGGAAGCAAGATTGAATATGTCTTAGTCAGGAGGTAAGGCTTTGGATCAGAGTCTGCTGGGACTAGGGCAGCAGGAAGAGACACCTATGTAGCAACATAAAGGTCTTTGGTTCCATTATGTTCCTTAGGAGCAGGTAACAGCTCTGGAGAGCTTGGCTTGCTAGAACCAGACTGAATCACTTCAGCAGAGCCCTGACTGCAGAGGCCTGAACAGAAAAATTGCTAACTTTGTTGCAAAACACTGCATTTTGCTACTAAACACAGGGATGTGGGTAGTGTAATAAATCCTCTCATGCCAAAAAAGTCACTAGGAAAGTTATCCGTACATGCAATGTTGACATGGAGTAAATGCCATAAGACCAGAATTTAGCTGTTCTTACAACAGTTACTGTACAAAAACATGGATAAAATGTGCTAGTCCTTCATCTGGAAGAAATTAAGAAGGGAGCTGTTTATTTATATACCAAGTGAGAATCTGACCTGTTTGGTAGTAGCATTACATAGCTACAGATGGAGCCTAAGTAAACTGGGTAAGTAGACAGTTTACAGTAGCTATCAGTGAATAAAAGCTCTTCAAATCCATCCCACTTGTAGTGCATTTTCAAGATTACATATTGCACACTGCTATTGTATCCTCACTTTTTCTGGCCAATGAACAGCCTTGCTGTTCATCACTCAGAGCATGGATGTTGGGTCAGATGCTTATTTAGCAAAACCTCACTAAGGTTCCTCACAAAGAACTTGGGTCATATTCCAGACGAGAGGTGAAGTGACCTCGCTGTGGTGATGGACTCATTGATCCAGCCAGGAACACAGGGCTGGCAGTCCTGGGGCTATGAGGAATCTTGAAGGGCTCAATGTCTCCCCAGTTACTGAGACCAAGGCAGAACTCCTGGGTCCATATAGGGTCCACACTCTTGCTCATCCACACACAGCCCCCAAACCCTGCACTGGATATGGCTGCATGTTTCTTTTTAATAAGTGGAGCCTGAGAACATACAGAGCTCYCGGTGGAGGCACATGGTGCTCACTGAAAGCCCAAGGGGGATGCAAAAAGCCAGGAAAAACTTAGCAGCAACCAGAGGTATCCACAGCCACCTTCAGGGAACCAAGCACAACTGCTATCAGCTACTATTGAACAGAATTAAGGTGACTTTTTCCCCATTTTTCACCTCTTTTCTGCAGCATCTCAGTTGCTGCTTAAGCAATAGAAATGTCTCTGACATAAGCTGGCATTTTCTGCCTGTGTAAGGTTAAATGAGAGTGGCTGACACTGCATCCCGGCTGCCCCAGCTCTGAGCTGCTCTGATTTCCCATGACTGTACATGAGACATGATCAAAGCCACTTCMAGGCAGGTTGAGAAGGCGAAGGAAAGGGAAATGTCACTAATGGATTGACCCTGCTGCACAAAGCCAGCCACAGAGCAGCCCTGCGGGCCCTGGTGCTTCATCCTCAGCATGGTCACTCTCGTGGGAGCTGGGGACGGGTGTCACTGCTGGCCTTTGCATGAATCACTCACTCTGACATGAGAAATGGACTCCTTCAAAAGCAATCATGAACCACGCAGCCTCTCGCTTTACTTCTGGCTCCTGACCACAGGTTCACAGACAAATCAGAGCACTTATTCAGATTAAGTCTCCCCTGACTGGGACAATTTTTCATTAAATGAAGGACTCTCTTTCACCTGAAAGGCACCTCCCAAAGGAGCTGGTACACAGACTTTCAAACCCTTGTTGATTTGAACAGTCCAAATATTAAACTCAACTTCTGCTTGTCTTCCATTAATCTAAGTATTTTTTCATTTCCTCACTTCCTCTCTACCCCATTCACATGTCGCTGATAAAGGAATGGATGATTCTAACCTTTAATTTCCATTAGTTTAAATGTAAACAGAAGGTGATCAAAACCTGGGTTTTGAGCCAGAATTGCATGCCCCTACATGCCCTAGTCTTAGTGCTGCAGCAGAAAAGCACATACATTTACAGTTAACGACGATGTGCATGTGCTGAGTGTAAAATGATTGCTTGTAATGTTTTTACTAGCCTTGATATTTCTAGCAAAAATAAATGTAAGCAAGCCTTATTTTATAAAATAAACCCTTCTTTCAGCATGAAGGGGAGCTGTGCCTGCACACATTCCTCCCCAGGGCAGGGAAGGGAGAAGCACTCTCCTATTTCACTGGTTTGGTTTGGGTCGAGGTGAGTTAYTGGCAGCTGTGAGAGGGATACACACTCAGTGTGTTGCTGCCACTCAGCTGAGGAGCAGTCATTCATTTGCCTTTGCTCACAGGCCCCTTCCTGAAACAGGGAGTTCTACCTCCCCTCTTTTGGGTGAGATGGGTGGATAACCCTGGACTTGTTTGCATGGGGACCAGTGGTGACAAGTGTGATCTGAGATCACAGAATCACAGAATCACAGAATATTCAAGGTTGGAAGGGACCTCTA